TGGGGTCCCCAAACGGAAGAATTGTAAATGCGATCGCCAACAATTGGGTAACCTACGAATGGCCGACTTATTACTGTGCGATTATATAAGAGCAAAAAATCCTAAGCACCTAAAAACTGGGCGTGTACACGAATTTGATGTGTTCGCCCTGTATATAAATTCACAGAAAGGACGGAGTGCTTTCCGTCAGACCACAACTTTTTGAACCGACTTCGAGCTGGTTTGCCATCTGGACGCACACACTGGATGCCCATACTAATGACCAGTGTGCCGATAGATTCATTGCATTCAATCTCTCCACTGAAACAAATGAAAATCTGATGAGATGAACATGCTAAACTCAAGTGTAAAAGAAAATCTTACTCAGGAAAAACGCCATCAACCATGCAAACGTATTCCTTGGACCAATTTCCATCTTTCAGCGTCTTTTTGAACTGAAGAAGTAAAAAGTAATATTTTGCTTTGCAAGTAGTTCCCGTACCTCAAGATCTGTTTTGTAGTTTTTGGCAAATAGTAGAACGCCTGAGGTAGTTCTGTCGAGCCGATGTAAAACTGAACAACACCTGCAGAGCTGCCGAAAAGCAAGTCATAAAAAATGTACCTCTCAAACCCGTTCGATTGTGATTGACTCGCAGCTGGCCTAGTACAGTGTGCACAGCATATTGTCCGCACGCATGTACAGGCAAAGAAGGAGGTTTGTCGACTACCAACAGATCATCTGTTTCAGCAATTATGTTCAGCGGAAGATCGAGTACCGAAATTAATGACTGTGAAAAAGCAGACAATGATAACTTCTTCCCAAAATTCGCCAATTGCTAGATTAGTAGGAAAAAATAAATAAAAGTGATGGACTCAACTTGACAGATTTGTTTAAAAAAACCCCTTGCAGTAATTAATTGCTACTGCGAGAAATCAAATATAATATAGCGTGCAGTTCGTCTTACGTCTGTGTGTCTGCCTGCATATCTGTATGTCTGTATGTGTGTAGTCTGTTTGTGCGTATTTGTATATGTGTGCATGTGTGTATTATGTATGTTTGTGTGTGTGTACATAGGTTAGATACATAGAGCCACGGCTCTGGTCACCTTCACTAATGTGCGAAGAAAGAGTAGGACCCTTACCCAAAGAAGTTTGAGTAAGTCAATTTTCTACATAGAAAGTTTGAAGATACGACAAGACGAATAGAGGAAGGAAATGTTCACTTTATTGTTGTTAACAAACATTTTTCCATGAAAAATGGAAAGATGTAGTTTTGGAGGTAGATTGGAGTTGAAAAGGCCAAAAAGTGTGAGGAGTAAGTGCTGAATTCGCCCTTTAACTATCTTATAAAACAGTTGATGTGTCTAAGAACTTCGAAAAGCATGCATCGTTAGAAGTAATCGCTATTATGATTGGGAATTGAACCCTGGAAGTATGCAGGTCAAATAGCCTTGAGTAGTGAAAGTCAAGAGACTATAGAAAATGACTCGTTATCGTGGAAATTATGAAAGTTGCGCAGCTGTCAGCTAGATTCTCCATACGATTCCGAGCAGAATGATATATGGATATCGGGGGTTTCGTTGAGTAGGAGCCGAGATAAGCCACCAGAGCCAAATGCCCCGTCGACTCTGGTCGTTCTCTGCCGCCTCTCAAAATTGCACACTCTTTACGCAACCAAGCGTCTTCCACGGGGCATTTGGCTCTGGTGTCTTTTTCTCCGTTATTTGCAGATTAATGTAAGCAAATCGTATATCATTATGAAGGTCTTAAAACGTACATTCAAACAGACAACTGCGCAATGTTCAATTTTTTGATCTGTGTGGATAAAATAAGAAAAATCGCGTTTTTTGTTTTCCTCGATTTTTAAGTCAAATTGAAGTTTCTGATTCCGTTTCTCCTCTCATTCGACAGGTTATCTTATTTACAATAGAGCTGATAACTGCGCAAATTTCAGTTCTGAATATCAGCGAATTATTTTAAAGGAAGCACAAAAAAAAACTCGTATTTCTTTTTAGGACTTTCTGAAGATTTCTTGCGGCCAGACTATCTCAACCTTGAGATCATTCTGTCTGCAATATTGCGCTGTAGAACGTAGACAACTGCGCAACTTCCAGAAATCATGCATTTAAGCGAAAAATTTAAAGGGAACATGTGAAAATGACTTTTTGAAGTCGTTTCATTTAAAATTAAGAGGAATGATCCTACCTTCATTCTCATTCTGAGCGCTTAAATTTATATTTTGAAGACACCGTTATGCATCTCATGTAATCAGTCTCGTAATCCCATGAATCTCTTTGATTTTCTCCGCGTTTCCCCCGTTTTTCGCCCTTATTTGGTCCCAAAGAGAAAAATGTATGCAATTAAAGCGCGGAAGTTCAAAATTCAAATGACTGCTCAGGGATGTAAGAGTGTCAAACACGTTGAATCATGTCAATATTGCTCACAAGTTCACTTTTATGTAAAAAACGGCTCTAGCTCCACAACTTTTTGGAAGTATATGCACGAAAAGGAAGGGAGACGAAGAAAATGATTAGAGAATGTTTGAAGGAAGTGTTATGTCATTTTTGCAACATTTTTCATTGAATGAAAAAAAAATTCCCACTGACTGTTTTTTAAATCAAGAAGATTTCCTTATTTCCTCTTCAGCTAGCTTCAAAGTATGTCAAAAACCACCATCACTTTTTGCAAGGCTCCCTATTTGAAATTACTATCACTTTTGTTGTCTTGTCTCTGGAGTATCGAACCTATGCGTGTATGCGTGTGAGTGTGTATGTATGTGTGTCTGTATGTAAGTATGTATCTGACTATCCAAGAAAATGGCAGTCCGAGACTCTCCGAAGAAGCACTGGTCTACATTGTGGAGAGGCAAATTGGGATTTGAGCTTCCCAGAATGCTAGTTCCTGTTGAATTCCAAACGGAGGTCCATCCTACTAGTACCTCTAATTGTCCTCAATCCTATTCAAGATATGCAAAAGATGTTAGGAAAGTGAAAGTCAAGTTCTTATCGACCAAAAGTTTTGGACCATCTCAGCTCTAACCAGATGAAGAAGCTTAAGCTAGCGTCAATTATTCTATTTGATACTATTCCTACCAAACTGTTTTACTAATGCCCATATTATACTCAAATTGTAGTAATACAATGCGTCTCACCACCGTTCGACACCCCCTAATCATGCTTTTGAAGCTTCGTAGTGATGGAGTCCTACACTA